AGCTCGCTCGCCAACTACAGGTCGGTTGTAATTACGCTACCAAGAAAACAAAATCTCGGAGTGGTTTCCAACAATTTATCGGCAACCTGGATTTGGGGCAAGCCTACGGACTTCATTACGGGTGAAGGCTGAGAGAGACAAACAGTATTACTTGCGTAGATGGTGAGCCCCAATTTGGCCGCTGTCGAAGCCAGAGCACTAGGCATGTGCTGCAAAGCATCCGCGCTGTGTGTAAACAACGCACAGTTGTCATCAAACAGCAAAATAAGGATAGTCTCATACACTCGGATTTCTGCTCCGAAACGATGGATATTAAGCAACCCACCATCAATACGGTGCTCCACACGGACACCGTAAGCACAAACGGCATCAAAAGCACAAGACATCATTGCATGAAGGTAAATATTAAACAGAACGGGAGCTAAGAAGCAGCCTTGCTTCACACCAGAGATAACTGCAGTCGTCCGAGATTTGTACACGGAGCTGCACCCTAGCCCGCAAACCACGGTGCAGCGATACAAGTAGACTTACAAACTTACTCAGACAACCAAACTTACCCAATACTAGCCACAGTGCGTCGTAGTTCACCGTATCAAATGCTATGTTGAAGTCAACAGAAAGCGAGTACAATGGCTGGTGTCGCTCACTGCATTCCCCTGCAGCTGACGAACCGAAAACACCACATCGATGGTGCTGCAACCCGAACGGAAACCACATTGCTCTTCCGCCACGTTCGGTTTCACAACCTGACTGACGAGGCGGTTGGACAGCATTCAGGCAATCACTCTCCCCACACAACTCAACAAGTTGATGCCACGATAATTCGTGTAACATTGCTTGCTCCCTTCAGCTCAGGAGGCACCTCCCCTACAATCCAGAAGTGTTACACCAATTGGTGCAGCGCAGGTACCAACGCGGATCCGAATGTGTTCCAACACTTCAGGCGGGATCCCGTCAGAACCAGCACAATTGCCGTCTCGCAGCAAAACAGGTGCTATCTACGTCTTATCTGACGTCAGTGTGTCGGCAAAACACATTTTCAACCCGTGCAGCATAGCCAAACCACTGAACGGCTCTCTAAGAAACAATCAAAGTGCGTTCGCCAGATCTACCTTATTTCCTCGGTCTGGGTGCAAGCAGCACCTGAAGTAGCATCGACAAATGTCCTCAGCGGTTGCAACGTTGGTCCCTACACCGCCTTTAAGGAGTCAAAGAATTCCTTATGCTGACGGCGTTCGGTTTCCCTCCACCATGCATTATTCTTGACGCGACGCAGCTCTGGAGTCAATCGCCGTCGAAGCTTGCGAAAATGACTCGCCTTCTCTCAGTCATCAGGGTCCACACCATCTGCAACGAACGCAGCATTCTTCTCCGACACCAATGCACCAATAATCTCACCGTTGTCATTAGACCAATAGGACTGATTACAGTTTGCGCGCCCCATCGTTTCTTCGACAGCAGACCTCATTTGTTCACGGATGTGGTGCCACAGATCGCACACTGTAGCTATGGATCCGACATCAACAAGGCACGTAGCCATCGCCTTCTCCAATTTCATCCTCTTCTCCACAGCACTTAGGGAAAAAATGTTATATTTCCACCGTTTCACGACAGGAGCGCAATTCTTAGACATACGAAAATATATGTACAATTTGGTCCGCACCAACTTGTGATCAGTGCCACACAGCTCCACGCAGTACGCGAGTCATGCGCACTTCACGTATGTCACGTTGATGTAAGATGACATAGTTGAGCAGGTGAGCGTAACCACTCCGTGGTTGCTTCCAAGTTGCTATATCACTCGTAACCAGTGTAAATCGGGTGTTCGTGATCGTCAGATCACGAGTGGCACACAGTGAGAGCAGTCGGTCACCGTTCTCATTTGCTTTGCAAATACCATAAAGACAGATTACGTCTGTCCACATAGCAGCATCACGCCCGGCGGGCGCGTTGAAATCACCCAGTAGGAATGACCGGTCGCACCTCGACACAGGCTGTATCACGGAAGATAACTGAGTGTGAAATTGATCCCTCGTGTCATCAGGATAACAAGTGGTGGGACCACAGGTGCTAAAAATAGTGTCCAACTTACCTCACAGAAACAGAGTCCTAAGTCGTGGGTTGATGCCAGTCGCCTCCGTCACCAGCTGGCGTTTTAAGCGATCGGACAGTGCAAATTCGACCCCATGTTTACGTGGTGCGGAGGTGGCGTTCCCCACCCAATAGATCATGTAACCAGTACCAGCCTCATGCAGCTTGCCTTGGTCAGCGAGCCGTGTCGCTGAGTGCGGCGATGTCAATCCCGTAGAGCGCGAGTTCCATGGCGACTAGTGCAGTGCGTCGTTCGAGACGCTCACTCGTGTTCCGGTCGAGTAATGTGCGCACGTTCCAGCACCCGATGTTGAGTGGTTTGTGCGGAGGCATACAACTGCTTTGCTGGACAACGGTGACAAACTGTCCCAGGCTCTTTTCCAAGTCAAGGTCTTTTCATCTTCTGATAACAGGCGCTCTCGTGCTTTCTCGTCAAGAACACCAACAAGTAATGCCTGTAAAAACATTGCTCCTTTGAAATGCGTTGGCTTGATTTCGTTACAGGCACAGTCAGGAAGAGCAGTTAGGAGTCGAGAAATAAACTCAATTATAGTTCATTATGTTGCTTCGCATGGTGTTACATTTGTAACGTGCTGTAAACACATGTGGTGTTTCACCCCACAGGCGATCAAGAGAGTGGAAAACAGCTTGTAAGTTTTGTTTCGTATGTAGTTGCAGGCTATCGAAATGTCGCTTCCCCTCGTTGCCTAAGAGGTGACGTAGTAATTTGATTCTTGATGCATCATCCATCGTACCGTTACCACCAAGGAGAACAAGTAGATCCACGTAATTAGTGAAGGTAGTTTTCCACTGCAGCCATTGTTGCGTAGTAGGGTTTTCTGTGGAAGAATTTCATAACGGCTGGGGTGAGGTAATTGAATTCGCCATTAGTGATCGCAATAACAACTTTCGACGCAATGTAACTGTCTAAATCAGGCCACCACATATAGAAACGGGCTAGTGACTTCATTTTAGCGACTGCAGGGTGTGCAGCATGCAATTCATCCAGGATAAGTGATCGTAGCTTTTTGGGGACTACAACCCGGGCTCCCCACAGTTGCTTTTATTTGTGGTGGCCAGGGGCATGGCGTCGAAAGTTGAGGGGTTGCATGCTTTGTCAGAACGGTGTCGGAACGCTGTGTCTTATGTGCTAATGCAGCCATGGTAGTGGCCGGAAGCACCATAGAAACGTATTCACGTAGACTTTTTGGCGCTTTTGTAAGTCTGACGACCATGTTGATCATTGATGCCCATTCCAAGTGGATAGATGCCAACGTCTTGACTACAGCAAATGCAGCTCACATAATAGTTAAACTGCGTACGACGTTTGCAACCTTCGGTCTTCCTGAAACACAGATAATGGAACAGCATTCACTAGTGCCGAATTTTCTGCCTTCCTTACCTCGAATGGCATCAGACACGTAACTGCTGCGCCTTATCATCCATCATCAAACGGTCTGGCTAAGAGAACTGTGCAGACAGTGAAGAATATGTTCCTGAAGCAACCAGCAGCCCCACTGCATGTGCGTTTGGACAGTGCCCTTTTCGTTTATCGAAACATGGAAAACGAAACCACCGGCAGAAGCCCAGCGGAATTAATGTTCGGCCGTCGGTTGCGTATACGGTTGGACTTATTACACGGTTCCCTTAGTTCGGAGGTTTGCATAAAACAACGTGCAAAGGAACGCCCTGACACCGGCAGCAGAGACAGGCTCGCAGAAGAATCTGATCTCATCTATGTCCGTTTACCTACAGATGGATCCCAGCCCATCGACGTCAAGCACATAGTGCCGTAGAACATGTGGTCGTGTGTCTCGGCCAAGCCGGTCTAGTAAGTCATTAAGATGACCCCGAGGGGCTACTAGCGAAGATGCGACGAATAAGTTGAATAGGTAAGCATCAGCGTATGGTAAGTACGTTTCTTTCGATTCAATTTACTAGCCAGGCCAATAATGCGTCGATGCGGCACTTGCGCCATCGTGGCAGTTTGCGTGTACGGATCCCTGTGTGTACAATTGCTTGCATTCCAGGTCTTGCTGCGCTCGATGTGAATGCTGACAAGGTGCCTGTTTGTTGAAAACAACCTAGATTACTGGCTCCAGGAGACTGCTAACCATTGCTGGAGAAGACGGAGTGTACGGTCTTCGTGACGGTGCTAGGCTCAAAGTGGCTCCATCTAGTGTGGAAATGGTGATGGCCCAATCACCGCACCATGTACATCTGCATGCTTCCCATCTTTAACAAATGAATGATGTGCATGTTGAAGGAGTGTGGGCCGGATCCGAATCAATCGTAGATCCTATCTACATAGGTCCCAGTCTTACTGCTTCGGGTGAACACTGGATATGGGGTGTGTGGATGGCGCCGTGCGTAGTGCAGCGCAAGCCACCAATGGTTCCTCGGTAGGCACAGGCGTCCCGTGGCTGTTCGCAGTGTCAGTGACAAATCCGGAAATGGATAGTGCCAACGATATATATATATATATATATATATATATATATATATATATACTCAAATTTCTTAGACACTTTCCGTACACCGTCAAGAGATTAGAACATGAAAAACCCATGTAACCTGACTGAACGCTTTATTGCTGCGCGCAACCACTGATAAGTCTAACATTATTTGAATCCCAATCCGATGCTGCTAACCTCAACGTGGGGACCATTGCGTTCGAACTGACAATCGCTAGTCGTATTCTGGTAATCCGACGTCGTCACCCCTTCCAGTTTCCTCCGTGTATGCTTTCTAAATCAAAATCTCCAGTCCTCACTTCGTTGCAACATAACATGACAAAGGTGACAACACTAGTTAACGTATCCAAATGTTAGTATCATGGATAATCAAGGATGTTAATTGAGCTTATAGATAATGCAAGAACAAAGTGAGCTGTAATAAACAAAACTCACTGCCTGAATCCGCTGAAATCGCTGGAGTGATGTTTTGAATCTACTATTCAGCATTTCCAGTTGAATTTTTGTCGACTGCCCCACTGAACGAAAGTATTGTTTGAACTTACCGGTTCGGAAATTGGCTGGCTAGCAAAACGTGCTAATTTTGCCATGGTAGATTCGATGACCTCGGCGGCATTTTTTTCTTTCGAAGACCTGGAGATAATTCAAAAGATTGAAACTTACAGTAACTCAGATTTGACTCGTGAATCCCCCGACAAGCAGATATTTTGATTAAGAGCCTCAAGATCATTGCCTTAAAACCAACATACTAACAGACAGAGACTAACTTAATTGCTCAATTTTCTGAATATGACGAGATATGCACTGAATTTCATCACCAACTGAAAATGATTCTGAGGTATTCGCATCACCGAATATGCAACGCACCATCCAAGGTCGAAAGCATCAGGGACAGAGGTTGTGATGGATTTCAAGTGTGAGCGGGAGTATAACGAAGGAAAATTCCGATGCTTGATTCTTCTTGAGAGAATCTGTCGGACAGTATTAGACGAGATAACTCTAGGCCCTGACGAACCTAAGTGGAAGTAATCGAGTCAGTATAAGCAGTTAGTTAATGCACACGCGAGTATTTGTGAATATATGTACAATAGCAACTGTCTATATAACTGACATCAAAAAACATGGAATGAATGTGTGTAATAAATACAAAATCAAAAAGGAAAATGGACAGAAAACGTAGTTCTGTTTTTAATACACCGTTTTGTCTTTTTGTTAGTTTAAGGACCAAGGTGTTGATCAGTTAAATCAGAGTATATATTCATCCAAATCTTCTACTGGGTCCGATTCCGCGCCATATCTCCTAGGGTTTCCAATCAGCCGTGTTCAATCTTGGCTACCCGGTCCGGAAAGTGTACAGGACCAACGACAGCTAAACTGAAGGCACTTTGATATTTCGTCGTCATCCAGTATACTGACCACCGTAAGATTTCTTGCACTGCGGTGCTGCGCGAGCGAATGGAACGGACCATTGTAGCTACTCGCACGGCGTGCTTAGAACGTGACCCAGACAGCTCAGTTGGCGCAGCGCTATTAGCCTGTAGAGAGGGAAGCCCAGAGCATCTAAGACGCGACGTTTAACATCGTTGTTACAAACGTTGTGTTTCCACCACATAGGACCTATCGTCCGAGGACAACGGTTGGAAGTACAAGGGTGAAACAAAAAGTTTTCGGCCCGACCAAGAAGTAAATAAACAGAATGTAAAGTGAGATCATTTTATGAAAGTAGCATATCCTAGAAGTACCACTGCCACGTCAAAATTTTCTATCTGTATTTGATTGCAAAGTATGATCCAGTGAACTGAGCTTGGTTGCGCAATTTCTAGAAATGGACAAATCTGAAAGTCCAGCTGTGACCAAGTATCTGCAGTAAAATGGTAGGAAGCCAAAGGAAATAAATACTGATTTGGTTGAAACACTTGGTGATGACTCTCCTTCTTATTCCACTGCTAAGAAAAGGGCTACAAATATAAAGACGGGTAGGGCGAACACTGATGATGAGTCACGGTCTGGTCGCCAAAAATCGTCGACATATGATGATCCAGTAGAAATAATTCACCGAATGATGTTAAATGATAGAATAGCCAAAATTTTGGGCATCAGTTATAGCTCAGTGTACGTTGTTTTAACTCGCATCTCGGGGAGGAGTAAACGGCGTGTAAGATGTGTGCCAAGAATGTTGACACCCGCGCAAAAAATGAAGAGGCTGGAAAATTGGAGGCAACTTTCGACTCGTTACAGGGCGAATCCCGCAAACTTTTCAGAAGATTTGTTACTCAGACTGAAACTAGGCTTCATCACTATGAACCAGAGTTAAAGACACGAAGTAAACAGTGGAAGCACCCTAATTCTCTGTCTTCAGATGATGTCCGCCGGAAAGGTTATGGCCTCAGTCATCATCACCATCATCAATACACGTTAGTTGAGGGTGAGAAACACACCTCAGCTAATTTACCGCAATACAAAAGATAAGATACTAAAAAAGTACACTACAAAAAATTTAAAAGCAAGTTATATTATGTCAAATATAATAGCATGCATTTCGTATGAGAAATGAATTGAAGAGGGAGTCTAGATGGAAAGAGAATAGACAAAGAAACTCACAACATGAACGCCATTGTGGCCGGCTTTTCGCCATATCAGCAAGTGTGTCCAACTAAACGTGTTCATGGTCCTTCGGTCCCCAGCCAGGTAGTCGGGGAACACCAACCGAAGCCAGCTTCGAAGTGAGGGTTTTCATTTGTCTCGACCAAGTCGTCGCTTGGCCTCCCCTTCTCCTCTTCCAACCGCACACCCGGCGCGCAAACAATGCACGCCGTGGGAGTCGGTGTGCTGGCATGCGCAACATGTGGCGCAGCCATCGAAGCCTGGTGCTTGATATAATGGTGCCGAGAGGTTTACCCGCGATTCCTGCACAAAATACGGGATGCCGAACATGCTCATTGCTCACGCGGTGCTCCCACCAAACATGAGCCAAACTGCGAAGGCTGCGATGAGCGAACGTGATTAGCCTCTTTACGTCTGTCGATCTGATGGGCCAGGTTTCACAGCCATATAGGAGGGTTGAACGGACGGCTGCACTACAAACTCTGCCCTTCAGGGCAAGGGTGGTGTCGTCATAGGTAGTGGATTGGCAAAAGTACCTCGAGCTTTCTATACGGTTCACAACCACATCTTCGATCCCAAGGACGCTAAGATGGCTGTCTAGATACTTGAATTTCTCGACGAATTCTAGCTGATACCCACTAAGTGTAAGCGCATGAGTGGGTCTCTGCATTTCGAGGGGGAAAGAACAGTCCAAAACGAATGACAACCAGTGCTAATCGATCCAGTGCTGTTTGACAAGTTTGGGAAATGTCAAAGAGTAGGGCAGCATCGTCCGCATACTCCAAGTCAAGAAGTCGCTCACCAGGAAGCAACTCCACGCCTTGCAGATCGTGTGCAACAAACGCAGTTACCATGAGCGTCAACTGCGAAGTTAAATAGGAAAGGTGACAGCGGGTAATCTTGTCTCCCACCACTGGAGATATAAAAGGGTGGCGACAATTTGCCATAAACCCTCATTCTGCCCGAAATATGCGCGTACAGCGCTCTGATAATGTTTACATATTTATCAGGCACGCCTTTCCTCAGCAGACAATCCCAAAGATCACATCGATCCAACGAATCGTAAGCAGCTTTCATGTCGAGAAACACAACAACGGTGGGTCGCCAATAAACATAGCAGTGCTCCAACAATTCACGCAGTGACGCTGTGGTAGACGAAACCCGGCTTGTTATTCACAGATCTGGCTTTCGCGAGTGCCAGTCAGTCTGTGGAGAACGACAGACGCAAGCAAGTTAGAGGCAACTGAGATCAGACTGATCTTTCTATGATTGCCGCATTCCGAACGTGAGCCACTAGAAAATGCAGACTAGCATAGAGCGGCTCCAGTCTGTCGGGACAGTTTCCTGCTTCCAAAGTTTCACTAGCAACTCGTGTAAACCATCCACAAGTGCATGTCGCAAATTTGGACGGAGATGGGGGATACTATCTGCCCGTGAGGCCTTATGCAATTTCAACAATGTGATCTCACGTTCGACTCTTACGCGTGTGGGCGGATCCAAAGAAACGGCCCAGAGAAAATGGGACTCAATGCCCGGGAATGAAAGCGATAACTCAGATTGGTTAAACTGCCTCACAAAGTGCTTGGTCCAATGCTAAAAGCGTTTTGACAGGCTGTGGATCGGCTGTCCACTCTCGTCGCGTATGGTCTCGCTAACACCAGGTCTTCTGCTGCCTGTTTCTCGTATCAGACGGAATACCTTACGATGATTATCAACGGCAGTAGCTGTTTCCACGTCAGATGCACGATGATACCACCAGGCTTCGCGGTCTGTCTTCAGGCTAAAACGCAGTTGTACCCGGAGGTTTTTGCGAATCTCACCTTATTCGCTTCCAGTCGGAATACGTCGGCGAGCATCCAAAAGTTCCAGAGACTGTGTAGAGACCCGGTGTCCAGGTTGGCAATCTGATTCCCCACATGAAGACATGCCTGCTGATAGTAACGTTTGGCGATGATACAGCTGGTGACTTAGACGGCGTTCAGTGGGCGCTTATTCAGCCCGAATGCCAGCGTAATTTGGTACGCATTCAGAACACTTGGCTTCGCCATCTGCCTGTTGTCAGTGTGCTCATGGCGACGTTGCGGACGTCCACCGAAACGCACCCGGTGCAACACACAGAAGAGCGTGATCGGAGTCCACGCTCGAGCAGCAAATCGAGCGACAGTTTTGGACAGAGAGATTCCAACGGTAACTGATCGCGGTATGATCGATTTGCGTCCATGGCTGGTGGGCGCCAAGTCACTCTCCTGCGCGTTCTGTGTCGAAAGATAGTGCTCGCGAGAAAGAGATGAGCATCTTCTCACAGCTGTAGCAACCGCTCACCGTTATCACTAGGGGAGCATACACCATGTTAGCCACCCAGATGAAGTTCATAAGAGGACAATTTTCCGACTTGCGCGTTTATATCACCAGCCAGCCCCACAGTATCCGTACTTATTCTATAACGAAGATCGTTAAGTTGATGATAGAAATCATCTTTCACCGAATCAGTGCTGCAGTTTGTGTAGGGGTGGGCGTCCTCGCGGTATACTCAGCCCGCGCGCGACTGGTGGTGGTCGCGCGGCAGCGAAGCGCCGTTACGGCGTATAAGCTGACACATTTACATTTTTGTGGAGGTGTAGGCCGCAACGACAAACAGGCACTGTATGTCTCCGAGCTACTTCAAAGCCTGGAAGTAGCCAGCAAATCTAACGGCGCGCATCCGGCTGTTGACTGGGATCCCATCGATTAGGGCAGCTTCAGCCCGGGGACTCGAAACAACGCCAACGCCAGCATGACCGGTATCTGAAGCGGCGTCATCGCCAGACAGGCGCAATGAGAATGTGCCGCCAGTGCCGCAGGGTAAGCACTGAGCCGGCATCTTGCAGGCGGGTTTCAGATAAACAGCAGGTATCGATCAATAGAGTTCCGAATGTCTAAGAAACTGCTGCCTGTCGGCCAATCTGTAGCAAAGTGCGCACGATGAGGCATGGCCAGTGTTAAGGAGGATCGTTGACTACAAAGAGAAAGAGGACTTGTCGGCTGGATTGGGGCGACGCCTTGCGATCGTGTGTAAGTTGAAACTAGAAGACAAGCGACTACTGAAACAAGGTGGTGGAGGGCCGAGAATTGGGAGAATGAAAATGGAGGGATAAAAGTGAAGTTGGGACGAGACGCTAAGGATGAAATAAAGCAAGAGAAGGAAGAAGGAGATAGGAAAGCCTAAGCAGTAGTATCTAATCCCCTATCCACCCTGTTCGGTGCAGCAGATAGAGTACGGTTGACTAACCTCTGCGACGGCCAGAGCATAAAGATATTGTTGGAAAGAAAAGTCACGGTGTATTGCGCGAGCAGAATACTGTCAGGTTGCCCAGGTCTAGACAAGAGAACAATTAGAGTTCCCAACCAAAGCCTTGGGTTCAAAAACCTTA